ATTGGTCATCTCCTTACGGTTATGGCAATCAGTGGAACATGTGCAACATTTTACTTGCTCACAGTGAGTACATCACGCGGCATAACACTGCACCTCTCCTCTTATGAACGACCTTCTCAACGCTTTTCTTCGTACGCCTCCCACACCAACCATCACAACGCTTTCGTTAGTGCTTAAACGCATCCACGAGCTATTCACGCTAGTCAACAGCTACGAAAATCTGCATCGCATACGTCCATTGAACATCAATTGCGTCTACGACTAGATGGCGGAACGCTAATCTAGGACGGATGTCTTACCAAAAATCAACATCGGATAGAATTTTGCATATGAAAAGAGCTCCGTAGGGTCATTTCTGACACCTATACACAGATGTTGTAACGAAAGTTTCGACACAACAAATTTCTCGATTATGTAAGGCAATGTCTATTTAGTTGGCGATAACATGCCCGTGGAGCACGGACCCATTTTGAACCCAAACGCAGATGTTATTCTCAACCCACCCCTGATGTAAATGCGTCTTTCCACACCGTAGGTGTACGCCACCATCACTTGCTTCGTAAGCATCAAGTGATGGGACATCAATAACTTTTTTGCATTTCAGATGCTTCCACCAAGTCGCAATTCACCAGCATTGTGCATAAATTGGAATATATATTAACCAACGTTTACGCAACCCTGAACGATGAATGTCCTACCTTTGCTACCACTGTTGAGACTACATTTGCCGGCCACCCATCGTTGTTGATGAAGTTCTCTTAGTGCCTAAGGGAGGATTCCAAGACCTGTAGGAGAGGCACGGCCGTGTATACCACTTTTGATTATAGGCTACAGCGCACGAGATTTCGAAAGCAGACAAGAAAGTTGACAGACCATCGGCGACCAGAGGGGGTGATTTAACTTCGGGAGTTGAGCATTCTGTTGGCGTGGAATGACGTGACTATAAATCTGAACGGAAATTCGACAGTTGGAAAGACAAGAAGGAATGGCACAATATAGTCCCTGTTTTCTTTGCGTTCTCCATCTTTCAACTTCACTATGGCGCATCTTCAGCCAATCACATGGCAGAGATGTGAACATTCATCTGCC